TGGGGGGAAATCCATCTTGTATAATGCTGCTTTCCTATCTGGAAACATGGTATATCTCTTGATTTTTCGGTACATCTTTCATGTCTCTCAGTAATGACATACATCCTTTATCATGACTTTACATTTTCTTGTCTTTAGGTTTTATTGCTATTATGACTTTTATGATTTCTTCTATTATATATTTTGAATGGGAAAGCATCTAATTTTTTCCTTACATTTGTTTGTACTCAGCCAACTTGAATACAATAATAATTTGAATTATTATTATTCAAATAATTTTCACGTTAGCTTTTCTAAATATTCTGGGTTAATAATAATAGTTAGTACCTGCAGTAATGGGGGTTTGACTTGTTTTATTTATACTTCGTTTCTTTTTCCTGACTTTTGTCCTCGCCATTATGGTGTCTTGATGGGACGTCTCTCTTTGGCAACCTTTGGGATGAGACTCTGAATTCTGCCTTCCAGTTGCAGTCCCCCCAGCCCTGGATGGAACTCTATTATTTTTGTGTGGGGATGGGGGCTTATCTCCTGAGCCAGCCTCGGCTTGCAGAACACACTCTTCCTGCAAGCATGGCTTCCACTCTTCTCTGCTGTGGCAGCCACAGCCTCACATCATGAGGATGATAAGCAGCCATTTAAGGGAAAGCCTCTCAGGATAACCTGGCATGCCCTGAAAGTCAGCAAACATGAGGGCCCCTCATAGGTCACTTCTTTTCCCACTGCCAGTTGGGCCTCGCCTTCTAGCTCAGTCAACACTGGGAGACTAGGCTGCTCAATCTGTGGTCTTTGTTTCCAGCTCTCCTGGTATCCCTACTGTGTGTTCCTCATGCCCCATGCTCTTCTTGATTCTTCTCTAATTGAAATCCTCCATCTCCCCAGACATGACCTAGTGAGTGAAGAGAGGAAGCAGGGTGTTGAGACAGGTAAGCTGAATTCCTCCTGCACTGGAGGCTGGCTGCAGAACCTGGGGAACTAGGAGGGGTGAGGAAGCAAGAGAGGTTCCAGCAGGCTTTAGCCTGCCTCAAGAAGTCTCCAGCTGGAAGGCAATGCTAAACCAGAACACCCTAGAGATATCTTGGCTGGCCAGGGCCTCCTAAAAAAGACACCTTGCTGCTTGGTTATGTTGCCTTAAGAGCACACCCATCACTCAGTGAATTTGCTGTGAATCAGAGGGATGCCCCTGAAGACACATTACCTGGAGGAGATAAGCTCCCCATCCCCCCCACAGCCATTCCCCAGCCTCTTCTCTTCAGCTCCTTTATTTCTGCACGCTCCTCCTTCCAGCTTGGCTCAGGCCACAGCTGACGCCCTGTTCACATTCTGAATCACTCTCCTGAGACAGGGCCTTCTCCAAGTGGTTTGCCTCTGGGCAGGTCCCAAGGCCACCACCTGGAGCTGCTGGAGAGGGTAGTCTGGACAGCAACCCCCTGGTGACCCGGTACTTGCTAGCTCCTCCCCTGAGCCCCTCGCAGTGCTGGATGCAGAGGGATGGACCAGGCAGCTGCAGGTAAGGGGTGAATGGGAGGGTATCTGGGTGACTGAAAGGGGAGAAGAGAGGGGAAGGAATGGGAGAGGCTGAAGCAAACATCTCTGAGGAAAATGGCTAATGACAGAGCTGGTAGACAATGGTGAGAGAAGGAAGGATGACAGCAAAAGTAGTCATGCTCCTTTTTATTTGAGATTTCCTTTTTCTCTTTTTGCCAATTAATAATACACTGTGGTCTGGGGAATGCTTGGGAAGGCTCCATTGTTCAAAATATTTCTTTCAGGAACCAGGCACACTGTCATTTGAGACTCACTTCTTTAGGTCTCGAAGGCTTTTTGGTCTTTGAGATGCTTTTATGTAAAGTTAATGCACCTCCAGTGAACAAAGGCTAGTGGACATGGACCAGACTTCCCTGGCCACCCTCATCTCCTGCTGCTTATCCTCCTTTCTTCCCCAACCTGAAGGAGTAGCTTCCTCCTCATCGAGAGCTCCATGGCTATGCCTGACTTATATCACCCTCCCGAAGCTGCAGGAATAGTTCCCTCCTGCTTCCAAAGCTCTGTGGCTATTCCTAACTTACCTCATTGTGCCCAAGCTGTCCTGGAAGGGAGGAAGCTTTGGATGTGCCTGTTCTTTTCCTTGGGCTGTGAGCACCTGGACAGCAGGGACTGCAGAGACCTCAGGGGGTGGAGGGGGTGAAAAGCAAGTGTCACATGTCCAATTTGGCCTGAGACAGCCCCCTACCTTGACCTATGCTCCAGGTCCCGGAGAGACCAATTCCACAGTAGAGGAATCTATTTCAATGTTGTATCAGAGTCCAGTCCAGGAAGCAGACCATGCTAAATATATATCAGTCAGGGTTCCCCAGAGAAACAGAACCAATCTATACACAGTGGGGTGTGTGTGTGTGTGTGTGTGTGTGTGTGTGTGTGTAGAGAGAGAGAGAGAGAGATTTTAAGGAATTGGCTCATGTGACATTGGCTCAAGAGGCATTGTCAGAGGTGTTTGAATCAGAGCAACTCCATCTTGAGTAGCAGTTGGGTAAAATAAGGCTGAGACCTACTGGGCTGCATTCCCAGATAGTTAGGCATTGTAAGCCACAGGATGAGATAGGAGGTCACAAGATACAGGTCATAAAGACCTTCCTGATAAAACAGGTTGCCATAAAGAAGCCTACTAAATCCCACCAAAACCAAATGGTGATGAGAATGACATTTGGTCAACCTCACTGCTATCTGTTTGACCAAGTATCTGGGTACTTGGCTGCCATGAGGAAAGCAGCTGCCAAGGACTGAACCCCCTCCTCTGCATAATAAAACCTTCACAGAAAAAAAAATTACAATTTCACTCCTGCGAAGTTGATACATAAAATTAACCATCACCAGTTCGCTCCTTGTCCATTTGGGACCCACACATATCTCCTTAAATCATATTTAACTTCCAAATAAAGACAATAACAAAATCGTAGTTCTGTGTAACACGACACAACTATCCTTCATATAACTGCATTCTACAGCACGAATCCTTTTCCCAGAAGAGGATACAAAGTCTTTAGCTGTGTGAAAGCAAAATACATCTTGGGGTCCCAAGCTAAAGGGAAAAGTCAAGCTGGGAACTGCTTAAGGCAAACCTGCCTCCCATTCTATCCAAAGTTGTCCCTCTGCTCACTGAGATAAATGCATATCTTATCGCCTCCTTTGGAAAGGCTAATCAGAAACTAAAACATTTGTCTCTTATCTACCTGTGACCTGGAAGCCCCCTCCCTGCTTCAAGTTATCCCGCCTTTCCAGACCGACCCAATATTCGTCTTACATATATTGATTGATGTCTCATGTCTCCCTAAAATGTAAAAAACCAAGCTGTGCACCAACCACCTTAGGCACATGTCGGGATTTCCTGAGGCTGTGTCACAGGTGTGCGTCCTTAACTTTTGCAAAATAAACTTTCTAAATTGACTGAAACTTGTCTCATTTTGGGGGGTTCACAGGTGATATTTACTCTTCTTGACATCCTGTAACTTAAACACTCTAATATAAAGTTAGCAATATTACATTCTGTGAGATAAAGTAATACATCTTATGTTACATGCTAAAGGAATAAGAAAGGGAAGAAAACAAAGATGCTATACACACGGTAACATGCTCATAACAAAATGAGGAAGAAACACTCATGACAATTCCACCTCTTGTTTTTATAACTGGTCATGTAGTTGTAGCTGGTATTGATAACTATCTTCCTTTACTACTCATTCCATATTCCCTTTGCCCTCAGCAAGCACCTGAGCTGGTCATGGATCATTACCTGGTGAGGTGACCGGAACCTCTGTTCCTAAAGCATCTGGGCCATTAGTAGTCCTGTCTGGATTGGATTGCTGTAATTTTCCATTGACTGTAATCACAGGGCACAGGAATACTAAGAGTTGTCTTAACAAATCTCATGTACTTCAGACATACTCTCCCTTACCTCCACTGCGACATTCAAAGCGTATGGCTTTGGCCCCACCTTCTCACAAATGACCCTGTCCAAAGCCACTCAGCCATTTTGAAATCTTTCTTAGGTCCTGATTCTGGGCTATGCTCAGGGAAGTCTCTGAAGATTTCTCACCCTGTTCAGGCCAGTTCTTGTGCTAATTTATGCCCACACATACCTGGCAGGGAGAGCTAAAGATGGAGTCAGTGGGAGCTGCCCTTTGGCATCATTTGTTTGTAATGTATTTCTAAGCAGCAGCATCTATCTTTGACCCTCTGCTTGTCAGAGGGCCAAACTCACAGACATTTTAAACTTAAAACAAACAGTTACAAAGCTGTTGAACTTTGCCTGTGCAAGGGCAAACATAAAAACATCCCAAGCCACCCGGCTTTACTTATTACACATATATCAGAATGTCCCTTCCCAGCTAAAGGCATGCATTGAAAGAATACACAGAAAGCCTGGAGAAGGTTTTCAGGGTGTCTATATACCCTGTCAACTGAGAATTAAGAGGATCTGGCTGGTCACTTGCTTGGAGAGGATCCTGCGGGCTGATAGTGCTGAGGGAACCCTGGTAGCACCCGCTGGCTAAGGTGAGAGAAAGTTGAACTTGAATGTGAGGGCTGTCAGTGAGAAGAAAATTCGAGCCATGGGTAAGGCCTGGTAGAGAGGGAGGAGGCTGGGGAGGAGTGAATAAGCCTTTGGAAAAGGCACTGTTAACCCGAACAGAGAGGCAACAGCTTTACAATTAGATTTTCTACTTGAAAGAGCAGGCTCTGTCCCTGGTAGCAATAGGCAGAAGTAAAAATAATATATATTCATTGGGAAAAGAACTGGAAAAAGAGTTAGGCAAAATAAGCATGTGGTTTTGTATCTTGTTTTTTAAAACAGCTTATTGTAATAAATTAGATATTCATTGAAAAAAACAGAATTTGAAGTTCAGAAAATCCGATCAGTTTTAGGGGTTGAGAATCTCATTACATACTTTTGTCTTTCAAAATTGTTTATTTGTTTATTTATTTATTTAGAAATGGGGCCTTGCTATTTTGTCCAGGCTGGAGTGTAGTGGTGCAATCATACCTCACTGCAGCCTCAAACTCCTGGGCTCAAGGAATCCTCCTGTCTCAGTCTCCTGCGTAGCTGTCACTGTAGGCAGGCATACCTCAACTTGTTCCTGGACCAAACCGAAGGTTAGGTTGCTTATTCTTGCAGCCCAGTAATGAGATGCAGGTAAACTGGGAAAGAAGGGAGTTCATTGCTGTAACTGAGTATAGGGAGAAGGCCTGGAAAATATCACAAGACCAGTTCAAAATTACAAAGTTTCTGGAGCTTATATATCTCCTAAGCTATATGTCTATGTGTATGTGTGTATTCATCTAAAGACATAAGTGATTGATCTCTAATCTGCAACTAAAATCTGAGTCCTCAAGGTCTTCCTCTGGAGACTCAATTAATTTACGTAATCTAAATGGGTCCAGGTGCTAGGGTGATTACTTTTATCTTATCTCCTGCTAAATCACAGAGTTTTGGGGAGTTCCTTTAGTCCCCAAGAAAACTTGTTTGTGAAGGCCTGGGGAGTTCCTTAAGACCCACAATAAAACTTGTTTAATCCCAAATGGGTCCTGTTAAGAATTCCTTTGTTATCTTTTCATGCTTCAAGTCCTCGGAAAGGGCTAGGCAACTTTTTGTGGGCTTTTGTTACATTCCAGCCTTGGTATAGGGCACTGGTTCTACCAGCTTTTTTTCTTTTTTTTTTGAGACGGAGTTTCACTCATGTTGCCCAGGCTGGAGTGCAATGGCGCAATCTCGGCTCACCGCAACCTCCGCCTCCTGGGTTCAGGCAATTCTCCTGCCTCAGCCTCCTGAGTAGCTGGGATTACAGGCACGCACCACCATGCCCAGCTAATTTTTTGTATTTTTAGTAGAGACGGGGTTTCACCATGTTGACCAGGATGGTCTCGATCTCTTGACCTCGTGTTCCACCCGCCTCGGCCTCCCACAGTGCTGGGATTACAGGCTTGAGCCACCGCGCCCGGCCTCTACCAGCTTTTAATATTTAACTTAACCACTCAGTGCTGAAACACTTGTCATAAAGGCCTACCTGTTCATCCGTTAGAAAGACCTGGCCTGCCACAAACTTGCCTGGCTAATTTTTAAATTTTTGTAGAAACAAGGTCTTGCTGGCTGGTCCTGAAATCCTGGGCTCAAGTGATTCTCCCATCTTGTCCTCCCAAAGTGTTGAGATTACAGGCATGAGCTACCATGCTTGGCCATCTTTCAAAGTTTACATGTGTATTAGTCCATGTTATTATTGCTGATAAAGACAAACCCAAGACTGGGTAAGTTATGAAGAAAAGGAGGTTTAATAGACTCACAGTTCCACATGGCTGGGGAGGCCTCACAATTATGGCAGAAGGCAAAAGGCACATCTTACATGGTGGCAGGCAAGAGAGGGAATGAAGCCAAATGAAAGTGATTTCCCCTTATAAAACCATTAGATCTCATGAGACTTATTCACTAGCAAGAGAAAAGCACATTGGGGAACCGCCTCCATGATTCAATTATCTCCCACTGGGTCCCTCCCACATGTGGCAATTATGGGAGCTACAATTCAAGATGAGATTTGGGTGAGGACACAGTTAAACCATATCATTCCACTCCTGGTCCCTCCCAAATCTCATGCCCTCACATTTCAAAACAATAATGCCTTCCCAACAGTTCCCCAAAGTCTTAACTCACTTCAGCATTAACTCCAAAGTCCATAGTACAAAGTCTTATCTGAGACAAGGCAGTCCCTTCCACCTATGAGCCTGTAAAACAAAAAGCAAGTTAGTTACTTCCTAAATACAATGGGGGTACAGGCATTGGATTAATATACCCATTTCAAATGGGAGAAATGGGCCAAAATGAAGGGGCTAAAGTTTCCATGCAAGTCTAAAATCCAGCAGGGCGGCCAAGTCTTAAAGCTCCTTTGACCCCATGTCTCAGATCTGGATCTGAAACATGGGGTCAAAGGAGCTTTAAGATTTGGCTGAGGCAAGAGGTGGGTTCCCATGGTCTTGAGCAGCTCCACCTCTGTAGCTTTGCAGGGTACACCCTCCCTCCTGGCTGCTTTCATGGGCTGACATTGAGTGTCTGCAGCTTTTCCAGGAACATGGTGCAAGCTGTCAGTGGATCTACCATTCTGGGGCTGGAGGACAGTGGCCCACCTCTCACAGCTGCACTAGCCAGTGCCCCAGCAGGGACTCCGTGTGGGGGCTTCAACTCTACATTTCCCTTCTGCTCTGCCCTAGCAGAGGTTCTCTCTGAGGGCCCCACCCCTGCAGTCCAGGCTCCACTTCTGCATGGACATCCAGGCATCTCCATACATCCTCTGAAATCTAGGTGGAGATTCCCAAGCCTCAATTCTTGACTTCTGTGCACCCGTAGGCTCAACACCACATGGAAGCTGCCAAGGCTTGAGGCTTGCACCCTCTGAAGCCACAGCCTGAGCTGTACCTTGGCCCCTTTTACCCATGGCTAGAGCAGCTGGGACGTAGGGCACCAAGTCCCTAAGCTGCACACAGCAGGGGGACACTGGACCCAGCCCACAAAATCATTTTTTTCCTCTTAAGCCTCCGGGCCTGTGATGGGAGGGGGCTGCTGCAAAGGCCTCTGACATGCCCTAGAGACATTTTCCCCATCATCTTGGCAATTTGGCTCTCCATTAGTTATGCAAATTTCTGCAGCTAGCTTGAATTTTTCTTTAGGAAATGCATTTTTCTTTTCTATTGCATCAGGCTGCAAATTTTCCAAACTTTTATGTTCTGTTTTCCTTTTAAAACTAAATGTTTTTAACAGCACCCAAGTCAGCTCTTGAATGCTTTACTGCTTAGAAATTTCTTCCACAAGACATAGTAAACCATCTCCCTCAACTTCAAATTTCCACAAATCTCTAGGGCAGAGGCAAAATGCTATTAGTCTCTTTGCTAAAACATAGTAAGAGCCACCTTTACTCCAGCTCCCAAGTTCCTCATCTCTAGCTGAGACCACCTCAGCTTGGATTTTATTGTCCATATCATTATCAGCATTTTGGTCAAAGCCATTTAACAAGTCTCTAGGAAGTTCCAAACTTTCCCACATTTTCCTGTCTTCTTTTGAGCCCTCCAAACTGTTCCAACCTTTTCCTGCTACCCAGCTCCAAAGTCACTTCCACATTTTCATATTCCCTTACAGTAGTGCCCCACTCTACTGGTACCAATTTACTGTATTAGTCCATTTTCTTGCTGGTGATAAAGACATACCCAAGACTGAGTATTTTATAAAGAAAAAGAGGTTTAACAGACTCAAAATCATGGCAGAAGGCAAAAGGCATGTCTTACATGGTAGCAGACAAGAAAGAGAATGAAAGCCAAGAAAAAAGGGGTTTCCCCTTATAAAACCATCAGATCTCATGAGACTTATTCACTACCATGAGAAAAGTATGGGGGAAACTGCCCCCATGATTCAATGTTCTCTCACCGGGTCCTTCCTGCAACCCATGGGAATTATGGGAGCTATGATTCAAGATGAGATTTGGGTAGGGACACAGGCAAAACATTTCAATATAATCACTAGAACCAGTAACTTTTCCTCATTGAGTACATCAGAAATTGGTGTCTTTATTGTACTCATTGAATATAATTTCTGTGTAACAAAGCAATTTCAGTTTATGTTGGATTATCCACACAAATTATGCCCAACTGATTATTAAAAATTCTGTACTCCATGCTGAGTTTCCATAACTCTAGGAAAAGAAAAAAGAATCTGTACTCCAAATAACCATAGAAACTGGGATTTAAAAAATCCCTTTCTTCAAAGAAAGAACCACAGGACAATTGGTGGTGCAATTTAAGCAAAGCATTTGGAGTAGGGACTTGGACAGGATCTGTCTTTGCCACTTTCTGGTTGTATAGTTGTGGGCAAGTTATTTGACTCTGCTGTCTGTCAAGGTTTTCAGTTGCAAATGGGAACAATCTTAACCTACTTTTAGGATTGTTGCAAGATTAACTGAGATAATGCCTAGATGGCAGTTGGCACAGTGGCTGGTACATAGAAATCAACCATTAATTGCTAAATTGTAGTATTATTGCAAACAGGGAGCCTGCATTGATTTATCTTTTCACTCTAATAATATAGCACAATCCCTGGGATATAAAAAGGACTTAATCAGTGCAAACTGAATGAATGAATAAATTGTATGGGTTGTTGCAGCTTAGGGTAGGATGGGCAGAGATTTTTTTTTTTTAATTGAATATCCTCATATTGTTCCCTCTCCACTATACCAATTACCTCAAAAGAACATTGCTTAAATGTCCAGACAACCCGTTTCCATGCACAAAATATTTGTGCTTATACAAACACTCATCTTAATGAATACGTAAGAGTTAACAGACAGAAAGCGGGTGGGGATGCCTGATACTCCCCCTCTTTCCCCCTTAAAGTCAAGCACTTGTTTTAGTAGCTCATTCACTGGAAGGAAAAGGCAGCTCCTCCAGTTCTCATTCATCCACAGAATTCAGTATTACGATCAAATTTAGATCAGCTGTCATAGGCTCTTTTTAAAACACTAGATTCTGATTGTCACAGCTTTGTTTTAGAAGCAGCACAGAATAATATACTGGGCTTCTTTCCTTCAATTACAGAAAAAGCTACTCAATACCTCTAAAATTCTGCAGATTAAAGGTATGATTTCTAGGGGAAAAAAAAAAACCTTTAAGAAAATTCAATGGCATCGAAACAAACAGAAAACTGCGGGGGGGTGGCGGTTTGGGGCAGTAGATAATGTTTTTGTTCTGTATCCCCAGTATAACTCAGCAAAGCAGGCTGCACACTGGCTCTGTGAGGACTTGGAGTGGCTGCCTAAGGGCAGGATTTAACCTGCACTGTCCCTAGTTAACACTTAACACGGAGCACTTAATAATACTAAGGGCAGAGAAGATCATGGGCATTCAGACCCTGGACAGGGCCAGATCCAGCATGGGAGGGCTGGGAATGATTAAATTCAGCTGGTATTGGAGGAGAGCATGAGCTAGGAGGGAAATAGACAGGAGAGAACACCATGGACTCTCAGGACAGGGGCCTCTTTTAGGGGTGCTTCATTCTGACTGAGAATCTTTCAGAATACTGTCTCTTCTACAAAGTCTATCCTGAACCCTTATTAGAACTCTGATGACACTTATTTGTCCCTCTTTAAAAGACTTACAAGAGTTCCAACAATTCATTTAGCTTACATACATGTCTCATTTCCATCTGTGAACCCTGAAAATCTGAGACAGGTCTCAGTTAATTCAGAAAGTTTATTTTGCCACGGTTGAGGATGTGCACCTGTGACACAGCCTGAAGAGGTCCTGATGACATGTGCCCAAGGTGGTCAGAGCACAGCTTGGTTTTATCCATTTTAGGGAGACATGAGACATCAATCAACATATGTAAAATGAACATTGGTTTTGCCCAGAAAGGTGGGACAACTCAAGGCAAAAGCAGGACAGGGAGGGTCTTCCAGGTCACAGGTAGGTGACAGACAAACACTTGCATTCTCTTGAGTTTCTGATTAGCTTTTCCAAAGGAGACAATTAGATATGCATTTATCTCAGTGAGCAGAGGGATGACTTTGAATAGAATGGGAGGCAGGTTTGCCCTAAGCAGTTCCCAGCTTGACTTTTCCCTTTGCTTAGAGATTTTTGAGGGCCCCAAGATTTATTTTCCTTTTACATTTCCCCCCTTCTCTTTTTAAAAATATTTTGGAGAAAGCATTTTAGGAGAAAATGAGTCTCTGTTCCCATGTTTCATCTAGTATTTCATGGCTAGGAAGGATGGTTTATTTCTAGACGGGGAGGTCCCAAGTTATTAGGAAAGCTCATATGTAGAAGGTTGTGAAGTCTCATGGCCTGTGAAGAGAAAACAGGGGGAGGAAGGTAGAAAAACAGCAAAAGAACAATCCTGCAAAATTGATATAAGCCACATTACTCTAAAGTTCATACATCAGTAGGCAGGTATGAAAGTGGCTTATGTATATATATATATAAAATTGCTGTTATTTTCTTCTGAAGTTTGTCTAGCTTCAGTTTGCAGGGCTTTATGAAAGCACAGCTTAGTTTTCATTGACTCCAAATTAGAAAAAATTGGAAAGAAATAAGAAAAAAATTGAAAACAAAGTAACAAAATTTACTCTGAAGACTTGGAGCCAAGAAAAATTAGAATTTGGTTCAAACTGTAGAAAATAATAAAAATCAAAAAACATTAGGCAAGGCTAGAATCTAACAATAGCTGTACTATAGTTTTGAATCAAAATTTTTCAATCTCCACTTTCCCATTTTAACTAAAGACAAATAATGGTAGAACTGGTGTGCTTTATTATACTTGTCCTAATTATTTGTATAGAGTACAACAAGAATAATTATTTTTTAAATAGGCTTTTAAATTGGCTTTGATGGAACTTTTTGAGATTCCATAGAAGGAATCTCAGATGAGACGTTTTTTAAAGCTGAGTCCAACCATGGATTTGTGCCATCAAGTACCTATGAGTTGGGTGATCCTTTCCTCTTGAGGTTCCAAGATAAACTTGGGGCTCCTGGTCCTGTCAGAAAGTGACATACTTTACTTACCATGAGTCAGGAACTCTGTACAGTGACTGTGTAGACAAAAGTATGAGGCCAGTTTACCTAACGGGCTTTTATTGGCTCCATAGTTAAGTATGAATCCTTAAAGGAAAGCATACCATTCCAGTCAAAACCTTACTAAAATAACCAGTTTCTCCAATTGTGTCCTGTTACAAATGAAAACAGATTCTTATTGCACTTACACAGATAACTGTATTGTCATAAGTTAAGAATACTCACAAATAGTTCCCAAATCCTGGAGAAATCAGGTAGAGAGAAACAAATATGCTCAAAATTTTGTTCATAGAAGTATACTTCACTCAATTGTTAAAAGCTGTAGATAGGTTAACAGTTGTTTTCTTGTTTCTGAAAAACAAAGGATCAGCAATGTTTTAAGCAAAAAGTTAAAAAGATTTAGTCTTTTATTAGTTCAGTTCATGCAGTTAACTTTTGTTCTGATATTCATGAATATTTCAGTTCTCCATGAGAGTCCTGAAAGTTGTTTTCTCTATTCTAATGTCGCAATCTCCAAAGTTATCAGAAACCTGCATTTAGGAACACCTATTAGAGTTCTACAGGTGATTATAAAACCACTTTCTAAGAAGGACCAAAACAAGACAATTGTTTGTGGATAACAAAATGTTTTAGGACAGCCACGGTCAAAGACACAACTGACAAAGAAACTTGTTATCTCTGTGGCAACAATAATTTAACATAACAATTATAATTATTACTGATAACGTACACTAAGTCATATCAATATTATAGGAGTTTCCTGTAATTATGGAACACATACCAATAACATATTTATACAAATACAGCCAAAAGAAAACGAAACACCATTTAATATTTGACATTTCTTATATAATTTTCATACCAAATAAGCCAAATTATGTCATTTTGGACTTTAGGAAACCTAATATGTTAAAGGATTAATTTGATCAGAAAAAGACATAATTTCAATTTGATTTTGGAAAGTTTATTAAATATCAAAGGTCTAAAACACTTGATATCACAGGTTGTTGTAAAATAAGTCATTCATTTGATGAAAGTGATAACTCAAGGGTTTTTTTAAAAAAGCAAAAACCTTCTCTTTGAGAGAAGAGAGTTAATATTCCAAACAATAAACCCTAGTAAAAACAGCAGGAAGCCAATTAAATTTGTTTTCAAAAATTTTATAAACAATCTATAAAATTTTAATGTGGACCATAAGCTATAACTTCCATAAGCCTTTTATAACCTTTATAAGTCAGTAAACGCTTCATGAACACCTTGTTAATTTGACATGGCCCCATATGGTGGTCTTGCATCAGTGTGCCTTTGACATTAATGATTAATTTATAGAGAAACTGAACTTATTTTATTTCTCAACATTGGTCCTTATAATCTCACATGCCCACGTCTCCTGAGATAGACCCTGGGGCTTGAGAAGTTGAATAACTTTAATTTCTGGCCCTGCGTTTCAGGAATGAAGTTTATTTTGATTGGCATCTTCTACTGGGACTGAAGATGGGGCTTTAATTGAGGTCAGTGTTTAAAGTTTAAACACTGACCTCAATTAAAGTGTTTAAAAGACACCAATGGTGTCTTTTAGACCCAGGAGTCAAAGCCCTATAACTCAATGTCACAAGTACTTTCAAAGCACATACAGAGAGATACATGGGTGTAATAACCTTAACTTAAAAAAATTTTAATCTCAGATGTTTTCCTAAGCAAACCAAAACTTAATAACAATATGACAACTTGATCATATAATAGGTTTTTAAAAAAATAAATCCTCTTATTTTGACTTACACAGACTGCTCACGACATGCTTGAACTTTCTGGTTTGTCCTGAACATCCCTCTCTCTTAAAGTCATTTTACTCTAGGATTAAATTTACCATACAAGATTCTTTCTTATATGAAAGTATTTCTCTTTAAGCTTTTTTACCCAAAAAACCTGTTTATTTTTATAACTTTATTTTATTTTTTATTTTATGAGAAAAAAATCTCACTCTGTCACACAGGCTGGAGTACAGTGGCAAGATCTCGGCTTACTGCAACCTCCGTCTCCTGGATTCAAGCAATTTTCCTGCCTCAACCTCCCAAGTAGCTGTAATTACTGATGCCCACCACCACGCCTGGCTAATTTTGTATTTTTAGTAGAGATGGAATTTCACCATGTTGGCCAGGCTGGTCTCAAACTCCTGACCTCAAGTGATTCTGCCGCTTCAGCCTCCCAAAGTGAAGATTACAGGTGTGAGCAACTGCGCCTGGCCATAACTTTCTTTAAATCTCTTTTACTTACTGGTTCTTTTTATCTTGTTTTATACCAGGCTTTTAAATAAGCTTTGAATTAGAGAAAAATTGTTCATCTTTTTAAAAATGACATACTTCGGCCAGGTGAGGTGGCTCATGCCTGTAATCCCAGCACTTTGGGAGGCCAAGGCAGGCAGATCACCTTAGGTTGGGAGTTCGAGACCAGCCTGACCAACATGGAGAAACCCTCCATGTTGTTTATTTTGTAAAAATACAAAAAAAAAAAAAAATTAGCTGGGTGTGGTAGTGCATGCCTATAATCCCAGTTATTCAGGAGGCTGAGGCAGGAGAATCGCTTGAACCTGGGAGGCAAAGGATGCAGTAAGCTGAGATCGCACCATTGCACTCCAGCCCAGGTGACAGTACAAGACTCTGTCTCAACAAATAAAATAAAATAATGCTTTCCTACGAATATATTTTTATTGGAAAATACCCATATAATGAAATATCTATTACCTAATTTAATATAATTTTAGATTCTAAATTATGATGATTTTGTCTACAAATATTTATCCTATTACATTTTCCTAATTACTTTAATGGTTTTAGATTATGAAAACTGTGATAGTCATCATTTAAAGTTATGACACCACCAGTGCAAAATTATAACAGAGACCGAACGAGTTGACCTAACTGACTCCATCTTGCTTTTAACCTCCAAATTGTCCTTGTTCATTCCTGGGCATAGGCTGAACTAACTTTGGGAGGAACTTAGTTTATAGTTTAGCTTTGAAACAAAGACAGTAACAAACCTCACTGCCTGTGAACTAGACTGCCTAAAGACACAAGATTAGAAGTTATGGTAATCTTACTAAATTTAAGATGTAGCTCTTTTTATTAAACTAATATCAATGTCTTATTTATTAAAAATTACATAAGCAAAGATTATTCTGTTTTGGTCTGGGTTTATAGTTTTGTAACCCCTATGCCAAATTTTGACACCTTATGGTATTTGGCAGGGGTAGGCATTAAATTGCTTGATTAGTAAATGCAAACAAAAATGTATGCTGGTAAATTCTTAAGACATTTCTAATATTATTTTACTAATAATTTTTGAGCCAACTTATTTATTAAAGATTTTACTTAAGTCACATGAACTTGAAAAAGTATTCGACTTGTCTTTTTTATATTTGACTTAAGTGCTTTTATTTTTTAAGCCAATTAATTCAAGCTTTTTAAATACAATTTTAGTAGTGAAACATTGTGTATACAACACATAAATATACACATATTAGGCATGCCTATAGAAGAAATTTTTTTTTTCTTTTGAGACAAAATCTTGCTCTGTCACCCAGTCTGGAGTGCAGTGGAGTGGTCTTGGCTCACTGCAAGCTCCATCTCCCAGGTTCAAGCAATTCTCCTACCTCAGCCTCCTCAGTAGCTTGGATTACAGGCGTGCACCACCACACCCGGCTAGTTTGTGTAATTTTAAGAGATGATGTTTCATCGTGTTGGCCAGGCTAGTTTCCAACTCCTGACCTTAGGCAATCTGCCTGCTTTGGCCTCCCAAAGTGTTGGGATTACAGGCATAAGCCACTCTGCCCACCTGAAATATATCTTATAGGTTCATAAAGACCACCTTTTTTCCTACCTTATCCTAGGTAGTTGTCAGCAAAATAGCCCTACATTTGCATATTAAGGGGAACAACTCAGGTAAAAATCAGCCAGTAAAATTTACATCGTAAGGTACAAAGTGAAAGTCTGGTGAGCTAGAAGGAAATTAAAATGAATTTAATTAACAATTGAACATAAAATTATTGAAGTCTATTATAAAGGCCTTCAAATACATACACATGTATATACACACATATACACACACAGATTCTGTAACTCTCACTCCAGTACTTTAGCCATGAGATAAATACAAATATGCCAGCTTGCAAAAAAACCCCAAAAAACTGTTAGATCCAAACAGAGGTTTTATCTCAGTAGAAAAATAATAGCAGATTTAAAACAGGCAGAAAAGAAAATAGAAGAAAAGGGGACTAGGAACTCTAGAGTTTTTTGCAGGTTGACTTTAGGGCTCTTTTTTCCTTAATATAAATTTGCACAAAGACTGTATTACTTCCATCTTACTCTGGCAAGTAGAAGTGCCATAAAACCAACAGGATGCTCAAAAAGGGGCCATTGTCTTTGTTTTCTCCTCATCCTCAGATTGTTTCCACTTTTTTTTTTTTTCTTAAAAGGAAGAAGTGAGCTGTGGCCTAGGGTTTTTGAGTGGTGGATTGATGTGAGTTGCTTGTGGGCAGCACTCCACAGTGTGTCATCACTGAGTCGTTTTCACCCTCTTAGGCATCTCAGTTTCTCTCTCCAGAGGTTTATGACCCCAGAGAGGGCTCAAAATGCCCTTATATGCATTTCCTGAATGAGCCATTTTTAAAATTAATTTTTGCTGGGGACTTCCCTGCAGGGCCAATGCATGTCACAGGGGTCAACTCCCCAGAAACTCCCACGAGGCCCCTGGTCACCCAGGGGTGCCTTTCGGCTGGGAGGAACAAATGCATTTTCTCTACAGAGCTGAAAAAACTCAGTCTCTCATTTACCTATGAAAACAACATTTCAGTTCCTCACAAATGCACACAGACAAACCAAATTGAGATTACTTTGGGGAGAAAAAATAGAGAAGACCCTTAAGAATGCATCTCTGAACTAGAATTAGGATTCTTAAACAACAATTTCCTAGGAGAGAAAAGAAAACAACCCAGCTAAGACCACTTCCTAAAAACTGTGCTCAGCCATCTGTAACTTTATAACACTTGTCTGCCATTATATGTTCCAAGGTCAAATCGTCTCACAGTGCAAGGTCATCTCTGGTACCCATAAAGCCAAAGAGGTCAGGTCATGGAATATGGGAAAACAGAGCTTTAGACCTAAGAAGAAGCCACCCATGACTCTCGACACTTCACAAAGAAAACAGAACACTCCAAAAGGAGTGAGTGCCCCCTTTGTTCTGAATTCTTTGTTCTTTTTTTTTTTTTTTTGAACTGGAGTCTTGCTCTTGTTACCCAAGCTGGAGTGCAATGGCATGATCTTGGCTCACCATAACCTCTGCCTCCCGGGTTCAAGCAATTCTCCTGCCTCAGCCTCCTTAGTAGCTGGGATTACAGGCATGCACTACCATGCCTGGCTAATTTTATATTTTTAGTAGAGACATGGTTTCTCCATGCTGGTCAGGCTGGTCTCGAACTCCCGACCTCAGGTGATCTGCCCGCTTTGCCCTTCCAAAGTACTGGAATTATAGGCATGAAGCGCTGTGCCCGGCCTATACTGAATTCTTTAAAGGGGTTCAAGTCATTAGAAGCCTTCTCTAGATTTTTTTGGTACTGCGGATGGCAAAGGGGAAAGGAATAGTGTGGAAGAAAAGTAAATGAAAGAACATTTGTTTTAGTTTTTTAAAGACAGAAAGCAAACACAAAAACCAAGTGCATTTTTTTTTCTTTTGCAGCTGTGAGAAATTTTGGCCAGATTAGAGAGGCTTTGTTAACCATAATTTGAATTCTCACTCAGATTTGACCAACTCAGGTAGAACAAACAACCAAAAGTCCAATGATATGCTCGCTGAGTGCTCTCGTGGTAAGAAGAAATTAAGACCAGCTGGTGTTAAACTTTAGCCAAGACGAAACCCCAATTCAGCTACTTACCTAGAGATGGGTCTCAGGCTGAAGACTGCCTTTTGCCATCCTAGAAGCAGGAAAAACTCGAATTCATCTTCCTTGCTGGGAGTGAGCTCGGACTCCCTAAAGGAGTCATCTTCCTTCTATGTAATGGAAACAGGAAATCTTGTCTTCCATGTTGGAAGCAAATTCAGAAAAAAGGTTGGTAGTAGGGGGGAGTTGTACAGCAAAATAAACTCTAGGTCTTGACCAGAGATCAGGGTTTCTCTGGAAAGGGTGTTCCCAGACCTCAGCAAGTCATTCTATTGGTTTGAGCCATAAGGTTAGCTCATGCTGGTACTAAGCACCGGCAGATTTTATCAAAGGTCAGGGGCATCTCCACTCAGAATCCCTCCACAGTTACCAAAATGTGAACTCCCAAAATCTGAGACAGTTCTCAGTTAATTTAGAAAGTTTATTTTGCCAAGGTTGAGGATGCACACCCGTGACATAGCCTCAAGAGGTCCTGACAATATGTGCCCAAGGCGGTCAGAACACAGCTTGGTTTCATGCATTTTAGGGAGACAGGAGCCATCCATCAACATATGTAAAATGAACATTGGTTTGGCCCTCTCAGTGAGCAGAGGGGTGACTGAATGGAATGGGAGGCAGGTTTGCCCTAAGCAGTTCCCAATTTGACTTTGCCCTTTAGCTTAGTGATTTTGGGGGTCCAAGATACTTTCCTTTCACACTCTCCTTGAAGGCAGGGTCTAAGGACTGTTTCCCTCCCAAAACTAGCTTGGTAATTTGCAACCATACCCTCCTGGGTTGAGGGGAGTGTGCTAAGTGCTGAGGACCCTGGCCTGAGACCTGGTACCTGAACAGAGAGGAACCGCTTTAAAGTAGAGTGAGGGTGGCAGAATCTTGGTACGTGCTGTGTAGGGAGCATCCTGATTTCCACAGACTGTGTGTTCAGCCTCACAGCTGAACGTTTCTCCAGTTCCAAAGTCAACAACCAGAATGGTAGAACAAGTGGAAAGGTTTAAGGTGGGGCTGAGAATGCTTTGTCTGACCCCTTAACCCAGTCCCAACCCTTCAGCTGGCCCTTTGTCCTGGGAGTCTCTTACTACTTTTTATGTCAGAGTTTACTCATGGTGCCCTAAAAAGGGCAGGGCATTTGGGAAATAAAGGAGAAAAAGCACAAACCAAACCAATCAATTCCTCCTTAGCAGGGTTGGGAAAGGTAAGCTGAGATGCCTCTTTAGGGTTAACCATTGGCTTAACCTGGGATCCTCCAAACAGCAGAGCCTGAGCAACGACCTGTGTACAAGTAGTTTATTTGGGGAATGAATCTATTTTGGATGGTTAAGATAAGGAGAAGATCAAAGTATGATTTCATGAATCACACAGTTTATTGACATACAAAGAGGTCTTTCTTTTTCACAATTCTTAAAAAGAGGGAAAATAATGAGAACAAATCTCACAGGGGATACACTCAACAGACCTGGTACATTAATCACATAATGAGTGAGTTCCAATTTCATTTAGAGTCCAATTATTAAAGTTGAGGCCAGGCACCGCAGCTCATGCCTGTAATCCTAGCGCTTTGGGAGACCCATACGGGTGGATCATCTGAGGTCAGGAGTTCGAGACCAGCCTGGCCAACATGAAACCCTGTCTCTACTAAAAATACAAAAATTAGCTGGGTGTGGTGGCAGATGCCTGTCCCCACTGCTCAGGAAGCTGAGGCAGGAGAATCACTTGAACTCAGGAGGCAGAGGTTTCAGTGAGCTGAGACTGCACTGCTACACGACAGCCTGGGTGGTTCAGTTGCTCACTTAGGATGGAAAGCAGGCTTTTGCAGATGGAAAGTCCAATCAGAGTCTGAGGCACAACTTTCTAGGAGAGCTTCTCAGGAGGGACACCTTGACCAATACAATGGAGATCCACGAAGATAAATGGGATCCCTTGATGCTAGAGAGAGGTGCCAGTGTTGTGAGACAAAGCTTCAGAAACAGCTTCAAGGCTTACAGAGAGTGGCCTGGCCACATCCTAAGCTGTCCAAGTGTCTATCAAAATCTTGGGTTTATATGTGTTTTGGAGTCCAGTAGTTGAGGTAAGTAGCTCACATGTGGGGTCTGATAAAGTGTGACATAACATTTCCTTGGGTAGGGAGAGTCCACTTCATGTTCTATTCACAGTAAAACAGTGTCACTCTCACAGCAAACTGAAAGTGTTTGGAATCATTTTAAAGCTACATAAAAAAATCCCAAGGAATTGGAGGGGAGGGCTTGGAAGAGCCAAATAGGGAAAGAGAGAAAGAGAAGGATGTATTCGTGAGTTGATCAAGTTGGTCACTACTATGGGCAAACAGAATGCTATCATTTTAGGAGCTGGATAGAACATGTCTCAAAATTGCTCACCAGAAGAATGGAATAATGGAGTATTTTTCCAGGAGCTTCTGTCTGCCCTTTGGTCAATGTTTGTCCCTTGAGGTGTTTCTTTGCACTTCCAGGTTTACTCATGTGTCAGAATGGGCAGCAGATTCCTGCAAGGGTCCCAGGCTGCAGTGCCAGAGTAGCAGAGGAATATCAGGAACAGCTGAGGCAAGGTGCTCTCAGGTTACACCTGTTCATAGCTGGATGCCACAGCAAAGCTGGACTGGGAAGATGTAAGGCCAGACATGGGAGGTGTGTAATACAACCTCAGAGAGGTCAAATGTCCTTTTCGGTCTTCTGCAAATAGAACTATAATTCTGTTTAATTCTCAGAGTCAGGATCTATGGTTTTTCCTTGGTAGAAAGATTAATTCTTCCTTTAACTGCTTTTCTAGCAAAGCATAAGCCTCAAGGTGTAATTTCAGTATAGTGATTTATTTTTAACCCCATGGTACTATATGCCTAATGTTCTGAAACACCATCACTGCAGCAAATCCAGGCTTGAGTGTGTCTGTGAAATGGAAGCAGAAAACCAAGTGCATCCTCCCTTCGTGATTCTCCCAGTCTTCCAGGCTGTTTGTGCCAAAAGTTGGCGATAAAGAAGACAGCCTTAGCCCTCCGGAAGCTCATAGAATGGACGGACAGGGCCAACACTTTTGTTTGTTCTTTATTTTGAGACAGAGTCTCCCTCTGTTGCCCAGGCTGGAGTGCAGTGGCACCATCTCAGCTCACTGCAACCTCCGCCTCCCAGGCTCAAGCAATTCTCCTGCCTCAGCCTCCCAAGTAGCTGGGATTACAGAGATGTGCCACCATGACTGGTAGGGTTTTGCCACATTGGCCAGGCTGGTCTTGAACTCCTGGCCTCAAGTGATCTGCCCTTCCTCAGCTTCTCACAGTGCTGGGATTACAGGTGTGAGCCCCCATGCCCCGCCTACAGTTTTCTTTAAATCTCCATCAAGCCAGTACTTCCCTCCAGTTTTCATCTTCCTGAATTTGTGAGTTTCTTTCATTCTCTTCATTCCTTCCTTCTCTGTACTTTACTTAAACATAGTTGTTAACCCCCAAAATCTGAGCCAGGTCAATTTAGGAAGTTTATTTTGCCAAAGTTAAGAATGCACACCAGTGAGACAGCCTCAGGAGGTTCTGACTTGCGCCCAAGGTGGTCAGACACAGCTTGGTTTTATACATTTTGGGGAGACAGGAGACATCAATCAACATATGTAAGATGAACATTGGCTCAGTCTGGAAAGGTGGGACAACTGAAGCAGGGAGGGGGATCCCAGGTCATAGGCAGATAAGAGACAAATGGTTTCATTCTTTTGAGTTTCTGATTAGGCTTTCCAAAGAGGGCAATCAGATATGCATTTATGTCAGTAAGCAGAGGGTAATTTTGAACAGAATGGGAGGCAGGTTTGCCCTAAGCAGTTCCCAGCTTGATTTTTCCCTTTAACTTAGTGATTTTGGGGCCCCAAGATTTATTTTCCTTTCACATAGCTCCGCCACTAATGTGTCCTGGTACCTTATCTCTTCAGCCTGTTTCTCATTCTGGAAACTGAGGTGTCATGGCGCAGGGCCGTAGGGCGGGTGGGGCGGTGGGTCGGAGTTGGGAGGAAACCCTTATCTGTGGCCGATTCCCTCGGTTGTCCTTATTATTAAAACTCTGGGAAACTGCTATTAAATTATTTTTAAAAACCCTAAGGAGAAAATCTTCAAAAAAAAAGTTTTTTTTTTTTTTTTTTGAGACATCGTCTCGCTCTGTCGCTCAGGCTGGAGTGCAGTGGCGCGATCTCAGCTCACTGCAACCTCCGCCTCTCGGGTTCAAGAGATTCTCCGGCTTCACTCTCCCAAGTAGTTGGGCTTACAGGCGCTCCACCACGCCCAGGTAATTTTTGTATTTTTAGTAGAGACGGGGTTTCACCATGTTGGCCAGGCTGGTCTCGAGCTCCTGATCTCCAGTGATCCACCCACCTCGGTCTCCCAACGTGCTGGGATTACAAGCATGAGCCACAGCGCCCGGCCTCTAAATACATTTATCGGATCAAAAGAAATTTTAAAACCAACCAACCCTAATGAGCGCTAAAGACAGTAACACGCACAGCACCTGGTTCCTCCTCCCCGGTCCTCGCCCCTGCCACGCAGTCCCGGAGCGAGAGGCGGCGGGGAAATCTGGAGTCCGGCTTCGGGGCTAGACGGCCGCACCGTGCGCCTAGTGATCCGGGCACCTTCGGCGGGAGGAGGGCCAGGCCGGGAGCCCAGGATGTAGGAAGCGTCTCGGGGGCCCCCCTGACAGCCACGCCGCCCTGGGCCCCGCCCAGCGCAGCCACAGCGCGCGTTAAGTGAGCAGGCACTTCCGGGTGGCCGAGGCTGCAGGCCCTGAGTGCGGGTGGAGGGGCTTCCAGAAGGACCCGGCGGCAGCGCCCCCACTCAGCTCTCCTGGCAGGAGCGCGGGCACCTGCGCGGCGCCGGGTGAAGGCGAACGCATCGGCCAGCCCTCCGCAGAGGAGGCCCCTGCCCATTTGGTTTTGGGTAAGAGGAGGGGTCCGCGTCTCTGCAGCTGGGGCGGGATGCCTTGGCGCCCTCTGCTCGGTTTGGTTCGGCCTCGCGCGTTCCCTTAGCCCGGCAGCCGGGATACGGGTGGGGAAGGGGGCCTCGTTCCCTACAGGCCAAGCGCGCGGCCGCAGCGGGGTAAGGGTAGGATGGACCATCTGGCCAGACCCCAGGGGGTCCTCATGCGCCTCCCTCTCGGCTTCTCTGTGGGCGTCTCCGGCAGCATCATCTGGCATTTATTATTCGGAATAATGTGCCAGGCAGGAGGAGGCTGTGGGTTAAACACGCGGCCCTGCAGCTCCAGGTGAAACGACTCATTGTTTCCTGCCGGCGAAGTTTACCGAAGGGGACCCAGGCCCCACGAAGGGAAGGAACCATTTCAAGGTCACGTCGTAGTCAAAGGCCGAGCCAGCCTAGACCCAAGCCGTGTGTCTTGCCTTCCAGCCCCGGACTCTAGGCCCTGTCCCCTTTCCGACCGTATCTCCCGGTCCTGTCCCCGTCCCTCCTCCTCCTCCTACGTCCTCCCCGAGGCTCCGTTCCCTGCGTTTGGGGAGTGCTCCCTCCGCGCCGCAGCGCCCAGGTGAAGAAGGCTGGACCGCAGGCAGCCCGCCGGGCCAGCTGCCTGAGGAGGGCCGAGCCGACGGTTGCTAGAG